GCATGAGCACAATCAAGTGTTCTGGGAGAAGGGGAAAAAAAAAAGTAAGAAAGTCTAACAAACATAAAACAAGAGCACCGTAATGGAAAAGAAAAAAGGATATCATCAATAGATAAAGAAATAATGGCTGATGATTTTCTAGAGTTAGTAAAAATATAAGACACACATTAAAGAGACCAAACAAATAGAAATAAAAAAATGAAAAAAGAAAAAAACCCACCACACTTCATCACATTAGAGTGAAACTGTTAGTGTTAATAGCTACAAGTCCAGGAGGTTATGGGAGCCTGGAAGAAGCACCCGACTCATGTGAGAAATTAGGGAAGGAGCACATGATGTAGGGAGGACTTGATGCCAATGTGTGAGCTGATCCCCAAACGATGAGTGAACAGCAGCTAGAGTGAGAGATGGGACGCAGATGGGAATTGGAATGCATAGAAGGCAGGCGTTCTATGTCAACAAAGATGTAGAAAAGGGAACAATGTGATCTGATTGGAGAATATAGAGAAGTATGAGGTAAGAGCAGAGGAATGACTGCAGAAATGCCAGAGACCAAGATATCCTAAAAACAGCCTAAGAAAAGACAGATTCGTTTCAAAGGAGTGACAGGTCAGATTTACAGCTGACTTTTCTTTGGTGACAATGGAAGCAAAACAGATAGTGGGGTGATATGTTCAAGAATAACTGCAGAAATGCCAGAGACCAAGATATCCTAAAAACAGCCTAAGAAAAGACAGATTCGTTTCAAAGGAGTGACAGGTCAGATTTACAGCTGACTTTTCTTTGGTGACAATGGAAGCAAAACAGATAGTGGGGTGATATGTTCAAGAATAACTGCAGAAATGCCAGAGACCAAGATATCCTAAAAACAGCCTAAGAAAAGACAGATTCGTTTCAAAGGAGTGACAGGTCAGATTTACAGCTGACTTTTCTTTGGTGACAATGGAAGCAAAACAGATAGTGGGATGATATGTTCAAGAATAACTGCAGAAATGCCAGAGACCAAGATATCCTAAAAACAGCCTAAGAAAACACAGATTCGTTTCAAAGGAGTGACAGGTCAGATTTACAGCTGACTTTTCTTTGGTGACAATGGAAGCAAAACAGATAGTGGGATGATATGTTCAAGAAAGAAAATAACTAATAACTGCCAACATAGTAGTATTACAAACCTAGCAAAAAATAGTTTATGAATTCTCATGACCATAATGAAGACAAAAGGAAGATGTAAAGAAAATCCAGGAACATTTTCTATCAGGAAATCTGATCTATAGGGCTTTCCAGAATATATATAAGAAGAGAAACAATTATGCATGGAGAGGCTGACATACACGAGTCTGAGATACATGATAAAAAGTTATGGAAACAATCATGAAATAAAGGATTATTTAAAACATTGGCATGCCTAAATAACTCATGAGTGAAAAAAAAAAATTAAAATGGCAATCAGAAATATTTTAACTTCCTGCTAAAATGTGTGTTTTGCAGTTAAAGTCTTGCCTTTATTGGGAAATTTATAACCTTAAGTGAAAACGTTGAAAGAGAGGAATGGGTGAAAATGAATTATCTAAGAATTCACATAGAGATATTGATAAAGCAAAATAAACTGGAGGAAAAATATAAGGAAGACTCAAGGCTACAATTTAATGGGTCATCCAAGGCAATTGACACAAATTAGTTCAGAAAGAAAATATTCTACATCCTACTTTGGTTCAGGTCCTCCTCCGTTTCAGCAAGCAGGGTTGTGTCATCTGTATAATGCAGATTATTGATAGATCTTCCACCAATCTTGACCCCACATTTCTCCTCATAGAGCCCAGCCTCCCAGATAATCTGTTCTGTAAAAGTATGGAGACAGAACACATCCCTGGTGTATGCCCTTCCCAATTTTGAACCATGCAGTGTTCCCTTGCTCCGTTCTGATGACTGCCTCCTGGTCCAAGTATAGGTTTCTCATTAGCACAATCAAGTGTTCTG